AGCTCTGCAAAGAATAGCGATCACGATGATCCGGTGGCTGCATCTTTGAACTTGCAGATGCCCGGTTGCATATGCGCATACACATAAATATACATCGTCACGAGTCCCTCGTCTCCCTTTCACGATTTCATTCGGTTGACCATAGAGACGTTTCCACGGCAAGAAGAAGCAAACGAAAAAAAGAGGAAGAAAAAAGGGAAGGAAACGGACTCGCCGGCGGGATGCCTTCTTCCTCCGATGGCGGTAAACGTCATCGATCTTGATCGTCGACCGCGTAACGACTGCCGATTGTGCTCGGACACGAGGGGCCTGAATAAACGCGGAAGAATCTGGGACGGGGCCCTCTATCCGTATCTCTGTCATCGCTGGATACGTCGTGATAACCGATGATATATGGCCGATTGTTCGTCGAACCGCGAATCTTCGGGAGCACTCGGCTGACCCAGATCTCTCGCTTGTTCTCGACGAATGATGACGGTCAATACGGCGGCGTTACCGTTTCCATCGTGCACCGCGCAGCGTCTACCGGCGCGTCGGGATGAAAGCGTTCCGCGGGAGATCGCGGACCCGCGTGGGTAGCAATTTTTCTTGAGTGACAAATGAAAGTAATCTGTTAGCCGGGACTCTTACGGGAACCGGCCGAGGAACGTGTACCGTGTCCGTCGGATTTTCTGAAAGACGTTTCGCAACGCGCGGTTTTCTTTTCACTTTTTAATTGGTCGGTGTTGCGACGCTCGCGAGCCGACGGACATCCAGCGATTCTGATGAACGGTATTAAGGTTGTGATTAGAGAAAACCGTTGCTCAAGACGAATTTCTGCCGCGTTTTCCACTCGACTTTTTCCAGAGTTGTTTATACCGTAATTCATTTTCTTCAGACGACTTTTAGGATCTAGTTTTGTAACTGGATCGAGCAGAAAGCAGCTCGTCGTTGATAATTTAATATAATATAATGTTCATTGTAACTGGACTGCAGATTTTATGCATTTATGACGAAAATGATCAAATGCAAAGCGGTAAAAATGTTTAAGCAATTTGAAAATGCTGTTGCATTATTTTCGAAATAATAAAATAATTAAAAAAGAGAGTTTCTACATGGCTTCTGCGTCTTGTAAATGATGCAGACAATTGTTATTTTGCATAAAAATTCGCAGTCTGATTATACGTATAATTTGTGATTCAGTTCGGCGAAGTTAATTAACAGAAAACATCGAATAATAACATTTCGTTTCGTATCAGGAAAATTACAATCGCCGTTTCCATTGTGCGAGGTTTAAATCGCGAGCATAAAGAATTTTTACAGCGCTCGATTAACAGCAATTGATTTTATGCGCAATGATAAATTTTTGATACAATGTTGCCTTTATTAAAAATTCTGCGCGACTGGTTCTTGCGGAATGTGTAAAATGAAATTCTATCTCCGATACGTTCGGTTCAAATTTTAATAGCCACTCGGGAATGCGCGGTGAATTGCATGAAAATAGAGAACGCGAGCGGTATTGCTGTTTGCATGCGATACGGGTACGAAGGCAGGCGGTGTCAGTAGCTTTGCTCGAGTGATTTCAATGCGTGGTCCAGTGGTGTCGCTGTGGGTTACGCATAGCAAGCGAAGCATTCCTCGGGAGACATTAATTCAGCGATTCGGATACTATACTTATCGTTCTTACGATCATATTTTGCAAACGTAATCGCCGATAACCCGTAAGCGTCGATAAAATCGTAGAAACATTTTATTCGCCGGGTCATTGGGCAAAATAATTAAAACAAGATCGAGGCGTTTTAAATCGTGGCCTTTTAAACTATCGCAGTCATGTAATCGCGGTGCGTTCGATAAGACCAGGATAACATAAAAATTCCTCGTCCCAAGAAATTAAAATCGGAACGCTGTTAATTAGCCGTTCGCATTCTCTCGCGCCTGAAAAACTCGCGCGTAAATGCACAAAAATCCTCGGTCGGTTAACAACCGCTCGAATTAATTCGAGCACGAACCGCCACTGTTTGTACACGTGGGAACATCGGGCCCCACCCACGGGACAATCGATCCTTGTTAGCAAGGTGTCAATGAGGCGCGCCCCCGCCGGTATCCGCGAATCATTAGGCTGGCCGTAATTTGGGAATGGGTTTATCGAGCTTATAGATCGCGGCGATAGGCCGCGTCGCTATTAGCACGGCTCATTATTGTTCGCACGGGCCCGGAACGCGGCTGGGAGGTTAAACAAGCACCGGTGAGAGGTTTCCTCGGATTTAATCTTGACGCGGACACGCCTAGCGTTCGATTCTACGAGCTCGCGCCTACTCCGGGACAATGTACTTCTCCCCGCGAACAAATTGATTAGTATAACGCCGCTGGTAGTGACGTGCGCGCACGCACGCGATCGCCGATCTGCTCGGATCACCTTGGACATCGGGACGTTTCTGCGATGACATTCGCAAACCGCCGATTAAATCGGCTTAACGATCTCCGTCCGTTCGGGGCCGCTCGCGAGATTAAACCTCGTTCGATCGATATCTTAATTAACCTCCCGACCGATCAATTAAGTCGAAAGACTTGCTCATTTTTATCGGGCTCGAACACGCGAACGACGACGCGGTCGATGCCGAGCCTCGTCGTTTTCGACGCGAGATGAGACGGACACTTTTATCGGGAGATGATGTCAGCTAGAAACATCGATGCCCGAGAGTGGTATCATCGTGGAAAGTACTTGTACGGCGAGCTAGAGAGACTGCTAGACGGCGTAAAAACTGAAGTCTCGAGGTTGAAGTAGTCCTCGTGATGATCCGTGACACGAACTTAATTGATCCATCGCCGAGCTCGCTGAAAAACAGAGTTGCTAAGATGTTAGCCGACGACTCGGCGTGTTGACCCGAGGCGGCCTTCGCGATCGGCTGGACTGCCGGTGCTTTTTTACGTCCTCGCAGTTCTCCGTTCCACCTGTTCGTTTTCGTTACAAACACGTAAAATTTCCTAACGATTACTCGATAACAAATCTTCTTCGCGAAAGATTTACTGTAATCGAATTAATTGAACCTAGCGGTGCTGTAACTTCGTCGAAAAAAAGCGTCGAAATTTTCTCCCACTTCGTACGATCATCCAATCGTAAGCCAACAATCGCCACCTCAAGCTTGTGTACTCGCATTGTACTAACTTCCGTTGCTGCAATCGTCGATGCAACAGAGGACGTAGTTATTTTACGATTTATCCAGGCAGACGGACAATTTCTATGAAGAGGAAGGAGAGAGGAAGCGAGATAGACACCGGTATTTTGGGTCAATAGCTTTTTGTGTAATTTTCACTCACGTTGCGAAGAAAAGAGGAGATCGACGTTGCCTATGATAGCCAGAAATTGTTCATATTATTTCTCATTCGTCTCGAAGAAAGCGAGAGAGCGGCGTTGCCTATGTTGGTCAAAAAATTGTTCGCGTAATTTTAACTTGTTCCAAAGAAGAGAAGAAACCTGTGTTAGCTAAAAGTTGTTCGTACAATTGTTACTTCTTCCGAAGAAAGGAAAAGAACGACGTTGCATATGTTGCTAAAATTGCTCGCGTAAATTTAACTTGCTCTGAAGAGAAGAGAGCAGCGTGACGTATACTATCCAAAAATAGTTTGCATAATTTCAATCGATTACAAAGAAGAGAAGATATCGAGGTTCCTTATACTAACTAAAAAAATTGTTTACACAATTTTAATTTGTTCCAAAGAAGCGAAGAGATCGATGTTGCCTATGATAGCCAAAAATTGTTCGCATTATCATAACTTATTTCGAAGAAGAGAAGAGAGCAGCGTTGTCTATACTATCCAAAAATGGTTTGCATAATTCGAACTCGTTCCGAAGAAGAGAAGAGACCGACGTAGCGTGTTCTATCCGAAAGTAGATCGTACAATAGTTTAGTCTTGTTCCGAAGAAGAGAAGAGAAGCAGCGTTGCCGGTGTTAGCCAAAAATTGTTCGCGTAATTTTAACTTGTTGCAAAGAAGAGAAGAGACCGACGTTGCCTGTGTTAGCTAAAAGTTGTTCATATAATTGTTACTTCTTCCGAAGAAAGGAAAAGAACGACGTTGCATATGTTGCTAAAATTGCTCGCGTAGATTAAACTTGTTCTGAAGAGAAGAGAGCAGGGTTGCCTATACTATCAAAAATAGTTTGCATAATTTCAATTTATTGCAAAGAAGAGAAGACACCGAGGTTCCTTGTACTAACCAAAAAAGTTGTTTACACAATTTTAATTCGTTCGAAAGAAGCGAAGAGATCGATGTTGCCTATGATAGCCAAAAATTGTTCGCATTATCATAACTTATTTCGAAGAAGAGAAGAGAGCAGCGTTGTCTATACTATCCAAAAATAGTTTGCATAATTCGAACTCGTTCCGAAGAAGAGAAGAGACCGGCGTAGCGTGTTCTATCCGAAAGTAGATCGTACAATAAATTTAGTCTTGTTCCGAAGAAGAGAAGAGAAGCAACGTTGCCGGTGTTAGCCAAAAATTGTTCGCGTAATTTTAACTTGTTCCAAAGAAGAGAAGAAACCTGTGTTAGCTAAAAGTTGTTCATATAATTGTTACTTCTTCCGAAGAAAGGAAAAGAACGACGTTGCATATGTTGCTAAAATTGCTCGCGTAAATTTAACTTGCTCTGAAGAGAAGAGAGCAGCGTGACGTATACTATCCAAAAATAGTTTGCATAATTTCAATCGATTACAAAGAAGAGAAGATATCGAGGTTCCTTATACTAACCAAAAAAATTGTTTACACAATTTTAATTTGTTCCAAAGAATCCAAGAGATCGATGTTGCCTATGATAGCCAAAAATTGTTCGCATTATCATAACTCATTTCGAAGAAGAGAAGAGACCGACGTAGCGTGTTCTATCCGAAAGTATCGTACAATAAATTTAGTCTTGTTCCGAAGAAGAGAAGAGAAGAAGCGTTGCCAGTGTTAGCCCTAATTGCGACTAGGCGGCCCCAGAGCGACGGTGGAGCTAACAGAGACTATTTTGCTCGGTATTCCAGGTGTATCCCGGATGGCGGGGACGTTGGTTACACGATGACGGAACTGCAGCCGTCGCCGCCAGGATATCGAGTCCAGGATGAGGCCCCGGGCCCACCTTCCTGTCCTCCGGGCCCGTACAAGTACGCGAGTCACGGCCACGGGGCCGAGCCTACCAATTTCAAGAGTGCCACGTCGTATCCTCCGGAAGGCTATGCCCTCAAGCAGAGTCCGTCACGCGCGGCGCTATCTAACGAGTACTATAGGCGCAGAAACGACGGCAGGAGGTCCGCGGAGGAGCACGAGCCTGCCAACAACCCGGCTAAGAAAGCCACGGCTCCCGGTTACAACGAAAGTCACAAGAAGAATACTGCTGGCTACAAAAACGATAGCGGGTACGCAGCCTCTCCAATCAACCCTCGACTCTCTCTTCTTCTTCTTCTTCTTCTTCCTCTTCTTTCTCCTTAGTGTCTTCCTCCTCTGCTTCTTCTTCATCTTCGAGTTACGCCGAACGAGCATCGATGAACGAGCCATCGATTCCCCGCGAATACTTTTAATATGTTGTCCGTTGGTTCTTCTAATAGGCTTTCAAACCCGAGAATTAATAGTTCAAGGGTCCGCTAATCTATTTTTTCGAACGCCTTTCCCGGCCTGTCCCGGTGAAGTAAATTGGTCCCTTGAGTCGATTGTGAACTGTAAAAGGGTAAAATATGGGGCCGGTGTACACGCGAAGCGACGTTAGATCCTGGAAATGCAATTTATAGAGCAATTGCCGGCGAAGCGGTTTAAGTGAATAAAGTACGAGCTTCTATGAAATCTGATATATGTATCTTTCGCATAATCGTATTTGCTAAAAACAAACAAAAAAACTTGTAAGCAGCACTTCTAACCTTGCGTAAGATCGTAAATTATGTTCTTTACGAGGACTTTTAAGCGGGTATTAAATGAATGAAATATTTAGGGGATCGTTGCTTTGTTCAATTAACGACTGGATTCATCGTTTAAAAATTCTTCGTGACTGGTCACTTGAAAATTTATGTTCGAAATAAGTCGTTCGATCTTTCTACGCAGCGATGCCGCTTTTCCTGTAACGATTTATGAATACTTTCAGTTTGATGGTTGAAGATGTTCCAACGAAGTTCGGAAAATTTTGTTTAAACCTTCGTTGCACGTTTTACCAATCTGTAACTCTAACGCCATCGAAAGAATCGAACCATGTTTACTTCATCTTCTCGTAAGTGCATAAAAAAATGGACAGTTTGGAAAGGGGAGATACGATTATTTGAGTCATCTAGCTTCTTTTTACAGTTGTTGACAATCGGTAACTATAAAAACGCAAGGCTCGAATAATCGTATCTCCTCTTCTAAAATTGTCCATTTTTGTACAGAATCTGAGCGCGAATTAGGGAGAATTTACCGTAAATATCGCAACGAACGTTGCATACGATTTGCCGCGACGTCGCTTTTCCTGTAATGATTTAAGAATACTTGCGTTTTGGTGGTTGGAGATGTTCCAACAAAGTTCGGAAAGCTTCCTTTAAACCTTCGTTGTACGTTTTACTAATCTGTAACTCTAACGCCATCGAAAGAGAGAATCGAACCATATTTACTTCATCTTCTCGTAAGTGCATGTTAAAATACGGTACATTCTCTCTAATTCGCGCACATAAATGTACAATTTGGGAAGGGGAGATACGATTATTCGAGTCATGCGGCTCGTTTTTATAATTGTTGATAATCGGTAACTATAAAAACGAGCCGCAAGGTTCGAATAATCGTATCTCCTCTTCTAAAATTGTCGATTTTTGTACAGAATCTGAGCGCCAATTAGGGAGAATTTACCGTAAATATCGCAACGAACGTTGCATACGATTTACCGCGACGATCGGTTTGCTTCTCTCGAGGGGACAATATACGGAAAAGTCCGTATTTACATAAACATCCGCGGTCTATTCTCGGCGACACGACCGCATTTCAGCACAATGCGGTACAACCGTACGATCAGCCCACTGCATTCGCTCGGCACTTTATCTGCAATGTAAGCGCACTTACACCGATAAGTGGCACTCTCGGCAATAAAGTCATACCGTGAACTGAGCGAGCGAGCGAGCAACCGTGTTGCGACAAGTGTTTATGATAGGAGAACGGTGGCACGGTTCCCCGAAGGGTCAGTCCCGGAATCAACCCCTATTACACGGGAATTAATTGTTCCGCTAATGAGAAACAAGTTTCCACGGTTGTACGGCAGCTATCGGGCAGCTTTTTGCGGGCCAGATAAGAGATACCGTTTGGCAGCCAATTAGACGTTTCTGTATTAGTCTCGGCACACTTAGATTTCGCGATAGGTCGAACGTTCGCCGCGCGCGCGCTCTCGCGCGGCGATGCTCCCGTCGTTACCGGGGTCCAGGAACGATGGTTGCAATTATAGCCTGATTATACGTGATTCCAGTTACGCTGAACTTGTTGACTATTCCATAAATTATGCGGCGGCCACGCATCCCGGTAATAAAGTGGTTCAATGACATCGGGCAACACCGAGACCCGTTGCCGAGCCGACAGCTACCGGGACCATGAGCGTTTTATGAGTGATTCATTCAGCTAATCCGGCTAGAGGTCGCGCCCAGGGATCGCGTCTTCTCTGTTCCGAGCACCGTATCGCGAAATATAATCGCCAGGCCGGCGAATATTTTTACGCGGAATAAAAAGTTTTTCGCCTCGGCCGGTAAACGCATAAAATCCGCAGACCAATAATTACGGAAAGCTAGCCAGCGTCGCTGCCAGGCCTCCCTGATTCGCTTAGGACGCGCTGGCTTTTAATGGACTGCGTCGAGTTTTGTTATTTTTCGACGGTAATCTGAACGCCGACGAGATTACACTGTCATTTTGCGTCGTACCGCCGGTGCTAATGAATATTGATTACGATGCGCGAGGAAATTTGTTTGTTGATTGTGTCGAGGCGACATTAGCGGACGCCGGTTGACAAATTGGGGAAACAGTTAGGGCTGCGGCCGTGAGGGTAAATGTTGTATTTTTGTCGACGGGGCGTTACTGGAATGCGTAATTTTATGGGGTTGTTTATTATTATACAGGAGTTCCGCCGCGCAACATTTTTCTCTGGCTCGGTTCTAGTATCGCGCGCTCATTTATCTTATAAATTGCTTAGGCGACAAAAACTTTCTATTATCCGTCGTTAATAACGTGTCTACTCTATTTTTGCTAGAAAAAGTTATGCACATAGTAAAAACAATTTTGTCTTGGTTCTTATTGAAACTATTTAAGAGACTCCGAGTTTGCACAGAGATCTGCAGTCGAGCAGAAAAAATCGAATTGGTAAAGAGATCGAGGGACAGAATTATTTTGTTTGTCGGGAAATTTTTCGTAACAAGAATTCGTTATAAAGACTATTAATTTTTACCAATGTTATTTACCAATGTCTTTTATATTTGAAAAAGATAAAAAAGGCAAAGATAAAACTGTGTGCTCAGACACATTGATTCAGTCGTCCGCCTAAAGTATCAAAATAATTTGAAGCCTTAATTGTGTCCCACGTGTACGAGTGACACAATATTTTTGCCTCCATCTGAAAATCGATTTTTATTAAAATTAGATTATTTTTATTTAGATTACAAAAGTAATTGTAGTAGTACATTTCATGTTCTTTATTCGAACATAAGTAAATAAATTGTGTTATTTAGTTATTTACATTTAGTTATTTACTTTTATAAGCATTGGTGTGAGAAAAGTTAACGTATTTCATAATTTAAGACAAATTATCTGTACGGAACTATCTTGAAATAGCCTCTTACGATTTGTCTCTATCGAAGTTAACTTAAATACTGAAAGAAAAATTATCTGTTAGGAATTATCATACAGTAAAATTTCGTACGAGGGATGACCAAAGTCGAAGCTTAAAAATTCGGGTATATATAAAATAAATAAAAAATAAATGCAAATCAAATAAATAAATAAAAGAAAAATAGTCTGTACGAAACTATTTAAGAATAGAATCTCTTGCTAGGGAGAAAAGTTAGAAATTACGAATATTGGAAATGGGTAGATAAATAAAAGTAAAACGCAGTGAATTAAACTTATCCCTTTTAGTTTATTAATTTGATGTACGAGGAAGGACCGTCTTTACTCGCCTGATTGCTCCAGGAGACTGAAGACTATTCACAAAGACGAAACCAAAAACGTCACCTAAAGACAAAGAGCACTCTGTTCTATATACATATGAAATCATTGTTTATCTAATGGTACTCTGGCGAGACTCTCGGCGTCGATTCGTTTTTGTAACTTATATGCTAGAAGGAAAAACTTCTGAGTATTCAAAAGAGAGAAAATAATCCAATAACGAATAAAGGACGAAGGGTTAAAGGTCAAAAATGAAGAACGAGTTTTTTCTGTTGGCACAGATACAGCGAGAGCGTCGGATTTGACAGTTTCACGCTGCCTCTCAACGAGAGAGACGAAGCATCACCACCGCCAACGCCACCAGTCCGAGACGCTTCCAGCCTCAAAGGTGTCTGCTATGGGCCTGGCCACGAGAAGTACCCATCGTGGCCCAGCGCGCCGGAGAGACACCCTGACGAGGACGTTCACGGCGCAGGTCACAACAGCGGATCCCATCGTTCCAAGTCCTGGACCGATCACACCAATTACCCGAAGGAGAAGCCAGCCCAATACACCAGACCGCACACGAAGAGGCCCAATCCTGCGTTCACGCAGCAGGTAACGTTCGCCCTCCGCCATACCTGTGATTAGTCCCGCAAGAAACCGCTCTATGATTTTTCGAAACCAAATCTTCGAGAACGCTCAGCCACCGTGGCACGACCGATCATAAGTAGAAGCTAAATTGACCGTGCAATTTTATACTTTCTTATTTTGCTGCTCGCATGAGCTAGGCTCGCGTTGGCTGACAGGAGAACATTCCGTTCACAAAATTTACCTAATGCTCGACGCGGTAAATTATTACGAGCGATATTTCGAACTTTCGTATCCTTTCGAAAATTCGATCGTTTCTTGATTTTAGATGCTGTGACATGTTTGATCTCTATTCGATTGCACTGATTTTGGTGTACGGTAATGTCTTCCTAACTGACGCTCTCAGATTGCGCACAAAAATGGACAATTTGGGAAGAGGAGATGCCATTATTCGAGCTTTGCAGCTCGTTTTTATAGTCTCGTTTTTATAGTTATAATCGTCTCTCTTCTCCCTAAATTCTCCATTTTTGTGGACAACCTGAGCGTCAATTAGAGAAACATTACTGTACGGTAATGTTTCCCTAACTGACGCTCTCAGATTGCGCACAAAAACGGACAATTTGGGGAGAGGAGATACCATTATTCGAGCTTTGCAGCTCGTTTTTATAGTTGTTGACAATTCGTGACTATAAAAATGAACCACAAGGATTGAATAATCGCCTCTCTTCTCCCTAAATTGTCCATTTTTGTGGACAACCTGAGCTTCAATTAGAGAGACATTACTGTACGGTAATGACTCCCCAATTGACGCTCTCAGATTTCACACAAAAGTGGACAATTTGGGAAGAGGAGATACGATTATTCGAGCTTTGCAGCTCGTTTTTATAGTTGTTGACAATTCGTGACTATAAAAATGAACCACAAGGATCGAATAATCGCCTCTCTTCTCTCTAAATTGTCCATTTTTGTGGACAACCTGAGCGTCATTACCGTACAGTAATGTCTCCCTAACTGACGCTCTCAGATTTCACACAAAAACGGACAATTTGGGGAGAGGAGATACCATTATTCGAGCTTTGCAGCTCGTTTTTATAGTTGTTGACAATTCGTGACTATAAAAATGAACCACAAGGATCGAATAATCGCCTCTCTTCTCTCTAAATTGTCCATTTTTGTGGACAACCTGTGCGTCATTACCGTACAGTAATGTCTCCCTAACTGACGCTCTCAGATTTCACACAAAAACGGACAATTTGGGGAGAGGAGATACCATTATTCGAGCTTTGCAGCTCGTTTTTATAGTTGTTGACAATTCGTGACTATAAAAATGAACCACAAGGATCGAATAATCGCCTCTCTTCTCTCTAAATTGTCCATTTTTGTGGACAACCTGTGCGTCATTACCGTACAGTAATGTCTCCCTAACTGACGCTCTCAGATTTCACACAAAAGTGGACAATTTGGGAAGAGGAGATACGATTATTCGAGCTTTGAAGCTCGTTTTTATAGTTGTTGACAATTCATGACTATAAAAATGAACCGCAAGGATCGAATAATCGTCTCTCTTCTCCCTAAATTGTCCATTTTTGTGGACAATCTGTGCGTCAATTAGAGAGACATTACTGTATCTGGGTTATTTTTATGTGCTTCTCCATAATATTTGCATTGTTGGTTCTTCATTCTTTGTTTACGTTTCGCGTATCTGGGTGTACAATTTCAGAAAATGTTGGATATTGATACAGTAATTGATTGCATTTTTTATAACTTTAGAGTTGTTAGAGCGACGGTCAAACTATTGGTACGATGACTGGTGAATCATTATCTTGTTGCAACTGTTAGATCCTGACCAAAGATACATTCGGAATACATATTGAAACGACAACTTATTTTTAAATCTAGGCGAATAGCTGCGTGATTCATGTGTGAGTCACGCTGCAGGCAACGTGTTGATTCAACAATTACGTGTCATTGACTATGTCAACATCGAACAAACGAATACATGAAATTAGAAGAAAATGCAACACACTTCTGAAAAACCATACTAGAGCTTTCTTCAAAGGACACTTTGGTTTGTCAACAAACGAGAAATGAATGAATGTTCACCTGTATAGAGTACAAGCATGAAAACATAAAATTGCGAGTAAAACAAACACGAGTGAAAGGAAAAGAGATCCTTTATGAATATAAAGAAATAATGTCAACAACATAGTTTAACCGTTTCAGTCCCAAGCAGCGCGATCGCGTTCTGTTCAGCTCTTGTGTCGCGATCAAACTTTAGTGACGCACGTACATCGCATAGCTGCTTTTTCTCTTTTTTTTCTCTTTGTTTTGTTTGTCAATCTCGACAAGCGCTATCGCGCCGCTTGGTTCTCATCGCAATCAATTAAGACAGAGGTGTCAAACTCAAAAGCTAACTCGGGCCAAATAAACAATGCTTAACTTTAGGTGGGCCGCAAAAAAGAAAAATCAATGTTCATAGAAACAAATATGTTTATTTTGACTAGTACATTGTAATAAACATATATAAAGTTAAATTATTGTTTACGTCCTGATACTTAACATCAAAAATGTTCATCTCGGACCGCGAGTTTGACACCCCTGAATTAAGACAAGCGCTATTTACGCTGTTCGCCACTTTTTCGACCGTGTTCTCTGAATAACCCCTGGGACTCAAACGGTTAAATGTAGACATTTTGTCCATATTCGGAATGCACATTTAGTCAGATAAAATTTTGAACAACCAATATTATTGCACGAAATCGATAGGACGACCTAATTTCTACTCTCGTCGAGAGACCATTGACTCATCCTCCGAGCTCGTACAGAAACGTTCTCGGATAGCGGCGCGTTTCGCCGAAAGCGATACGTCACCGTGCCAATTACGTTTTGTAAGGTAATTCGTCCGTGGACGTGTCGGCGTGGCGAGTATTCGTGCGTCGCAGTTGGTTACGAAATTGAAAACTCATTTGCAAGGAGCACCGAAGCACTTTCGACGGTGTTAACGAGTCACGAGCAGAGGAGGGGCCCGGTCAGGGAGGAGAGGCGTTATCGTTCCGTTTTCAGAGCGTTTTAATCGGCGCGCGAGGTTTTACGGCGGGCCCGGGAAGTTTAATTGGCTCCGGGAACGTGTCGCGTTAAGCATCGGGCCCCGGCGTAGGTCAGAACCTTGGCAAGACCGTGCTGCGCCCTAAAACGACGAAGACAATTAATCTCCCACACCCGCACCCTCCTTTCTCTCTGCGGGTGACATAATCGTCGCCAGCCGGCGAAGTAGGCCAGCAGTTTCGTGGCAAACACGCGAACGGTGTTGTTCGCTGCATGGGGTCACCGGGGAACCCGTGTCAGAGGTAGGCAAGTTTCATCTCGAATCCGAAGGATCGAGCATGCCGGATTTTTATTCGCGAATAACGAAGAACGATTTTATCGACAATAAAAAAACCGAATACTGAATTTTGCGTTCATTTTGTATTGAATTTATGAAAAATTGTTATATACAAATTTATAGAATAATTATTTTCAAATTATAAAGGGACAAAAATTTTAAAATATTTACAACAAATTTTCTAGAATTCTATATTATTTAATAATATAATTCTGTGACTAAAGATATTATAAACTATATCTGCTATAGTTTATAATATTATAAGCTATATCTATATATTTTTTAAATATTCATATTATTTAATAAACGTTTGTTGTGACTAAATTGTATCTATAAGAAGGACAATATTGAATTTATAAAAAC